AATATTTAATTAATTTTAGTATATACTAAATATAATATTAGAAAATTTATTATGATTTTAGTTATATTTTTTATTATCTTGTAATTTAATATTAAATTTCTTTTGATTATAAAATATAGTAATTAAAATCTAAAATCTGTATCAGTTTCTTTGATAAAAATATTTAATTAATTTTAATATATAATAAATTTAATATCAGATTATTTATTATGATTTTAGTTATAATTATTATAATATTTTGGATTAATATTAGATATTTTTTTATTATAAAACATAATAAATAAAATCTAAAATCTGTAGTAATTTCTTTGATACAAATATTTAATATCAGAATATTTATTATAATTTTAGTTATAATTTTTATACTCTTTTGATTTAATACTGGATTTCTTTTGATTATAATATTTTAATATATTTAATACTTTTGATTTCTTTTGATTTGAATTATAATTTTTATAATCTTTTGATTTATTATGATTTAATTTTTATAATCTAACAACCCAACGCTTAAAAATAATGTTTATTTTTAAGATAAACATTATTTAATTATTTATAAACTTTATTTATTAACATAAATAAACTTTATTTATTATTATCCCTCACTTCACATGACCTTCCTTCTGGACATAAGTCCAAGAACCTCATCCCAAAGCCCAACACTCCCAACAGTCTCGAGCCCAACAACGCTCGGGCTACACGCAACAACGGTCCAATACCTCGCCCTGATCTCATTCCTCAATTTTCTCCCACAATACCCATCGAAGAACCTAAACTCCCCAAGCCCAACGACATTTCTCTTGACCATTGGCTCCTTCTCTGTTAGGTATTCCTCAATTGCTCTATCCATATTTGTTATGATTTTTTCTTTATTAACTTTAATTGATTGCGCAGCTTCGGGGTTCTGCTTCCAGTGTCGTCGGCGCCAAGAGGTTTTTTGCTGGTAATTTTTTGAGGTTTTTTCTTTTATTTTTTTTAGGGTTTTCTGCTTCGTATTCGAAAGGGGGCAACTTGAATGCGATTTCGATGTGGTTTTTGAAATTCAATTTGGAATTTGGTGTTTTGCTTGTTTCTATTATTGTAGATTTTTTTTAGAGTAAACTTTTTAGTTGTTTTGGTTGAGTTTTTTGTTCTTCTCGGTGTTGTGAGTGTGAAGCTCTGCGGCTCTTATTTTTGCGATTTTCTAATCCAGCAAGAAAAGGAAAAAAAAACTGAATTTAGCAGCTTTTTGCAAGCTATAGTCGCTGTACCATGATATTAGGCTTCTGTTGAGTGTCTTTTATGCATGATTTGCACTCAACTTTTGGTACTCTTTTTGGTAATTGTAGATATTATATATGTTATTTTACCCCCCCTTTATTTAAAGAATCAAGTTATATTAAAAGAGTAGAGGAGTTGTAGCAAAATCTAAAGGAATTTCCTCATTTTTTGCAGGTTTTTTTAGGAAGGTAGAGATCCACAGGATCTGGAGCTCGAGCTGTGGAAATCTGGGGAGAAATTGTGAAGGTCAGAAACTTGCAGCTATAGCAGTGGAAATCTGGAATGCTCATTTTTTGTTCTAGAGACTTGAAGCTATAGTTGTGGATCTGGAGCTCGAGCTGTGGAAATCTGAAATACAATTTGAAGCTCCAGAGAGTTGAAGCTAAAGCTGTGAACTCAAAGCTAAAGCCATGGAGTACCCAGGACCCAGCAAAAACTCCAGAGATCCACAGCCATAGCTGTGGCTTCATAGCTGCAGCGCTGGAGGTTCCTTAAGCTTGAAGGAGTTGCCACAGCTATAGCTGTGGAACCACAACTATGGCTTTGGAGGTTTCTTCACCCTGAAGGACTCTCCACAGCTATAGCCGTGGATCTACAGCTGCAGCCGTGGGAGTAAAATCCTTACCAGCAACTCTACCCTTCCCCTTCACAAGATTTGAGGAAGTAGAAGCTTCAGCCCCAGTCAAAGCGAAAACTCTACCAGCTGTAGTGGGTCTGTCACCCCTCTAAGCATCACCTCTCTAGGCACCACTCCTCTGCGCATCACCCCTCTCTGGTCTGCCTCTAGTAGGACAGTTGGATGACTCATGGCCCATCTGGTGGCATCTGAAACAACGGCTCTTAGTGTGCAGGCAATCCTTGACAAAGTGGGGCCCGCCACACCTATAACATCTCAGAGTGGCACTCCCACCCTGCCTCCCTCCACCTGCAGCACCAGAAGGTTGTCTAATGACAGGACCCCCTTGTTGAGGTTGGGGCCTATCATACCCTCTCTGTGTGGTGTTTCTAGTGTGTTGTGCCGGGTGTAGTGACCAGCTGGGTCGTTACACTTTAGTGGTATCAAAGCAGTTCGAGTCTAGTGGATGCTCTTTGGGGGTGGTTCCTTTAGGCTTTTGTTGTGCTGAACTCTATGTTGTGCTGTCTTGCTGTGTTGTTGCTGTGCTGATTGATGTGATGTTTGATGTGTTGTTGATTGCTGTTTGGTCTAGTTATTGTGTACTAAAGATGCTGTTACTTTTGTAGACAATGTCTAGAGCCAACGAGGGTGTGCCTGTGTGTGATTTGGGGTCGAGACTGCTAGTGTCGATGCCCGCTTCTGCTTCGGTAGTTGCTTCTGAACTGTGTGCTGGTTGTCCGATTGTGGTGAATGAGAAGAAGTATAAGGTGAACCTGATTTGTTTGCCTTTGGTGGATATTGACATAATCTTAGGGATGGATTGGTTGTCTGCCAATCGCATTCTTATAGATTGTGCCAATAGGCGGTTGATTTTTCCTCAGGTGGAGGATGAACTGTTGATTTCAGCTAGCCAAGCTGAGTCATTGCTAAGTCATCTATCCGGGGAAGTGGATATTTGTTCTTAATGATCAACTTGTTCAACTGCCGGTAATCAACACACAGTCGACTACCTCCATCCTTCTTTTTCACCAACAGCACAGGAACACCCCACGGTGATACACTCGGCCGCACCAACTGTTTCTCCAACAGGTTCTCCAACTGGCCCTTCAGCTCAACCAGCTCAGCAAGAGCCATCCTATAGGGAGCCACCGACACTGGCCCCGCACTTGGAACCAAGTCAATGCTAAACTCCATCTCCCTCACAGGAGGCAACCCTGACACCTCATCCGGGAACACCTCAGCAAAATCCCGCACCACATCAATTTCAGCAATGACCCTTTCGGTCTCAACACTCAACGCAGCAAGCAGAAGACAACACTCTGCTCCATCTCTCAGCAATGACTCAGCTTGGCTAGCTGAAATCAACAGTTCATCCTCCACCTGAGGAAAAATCAACCGCCTATTGGCACAATCTATAAGAATGCGATTGGCAGACAACCAATCCATCCCTAAGATTATGTCAATATCCACCAAAGGCAAACAAATCAGGTTCACCTTATACTTCTTCTCATTCACCACAATCGGACAACCAGCACACAGTTCAGAAGCAACTACCGAAGCAGAAGCGGGCATCGACACTAGCAGTCTCGACCCCAAATCACACACAGGCACACCCAGCATAGCAGCACATGCATAAGATATAAAGGAATGTGAAGCACCAGAGTCAAAAAGAATCATCACATCCTTACCAGCAACTCTACCCTTCCCCTTCACAAGATTTGAGGAAGTAGAAGCTTCAGCCCCAGTCAAAGCGAAAACTCTACCAGCTGTAGTGGGTCTGTCACCCCTCTAAGCATCACCTCTCTAGGCACCACTCCTCTGCGCATCACCCCTCTCTGGTCTGCCTCTAGTAGGACAGTTGGATGACTCATGGCCCATCTGGTGGCATCTGAAACAACGGCTCTTAGTGTGCAGGCAATCCTTGACAAAGTGGGGCCCGACACACCTATAACATCTCAGAGTGGCACTTCCACCCTGCCTCCCTCCACCTGCAGCACCAGAAGGTTGTCTAATGACAGGACCCCCTTGTTGAGGTTGGGGCCTATCATACGACTTCCTCTGGTTCCCGCCTTTCTTGGACCCAACTAGTCCCTCAGCAAACTTTCGACATTTCCAGGCTTCAGCTATACCTTGCAAATAAAAACGAGCCAAGTGCTCGAATCTCATCGCATATTCAGAAACAATCATCCCTCCTTGGTGTAACCGCATGAACTCAACTTCCTTGGCATGCCTCACACTCTCAGGGAAATACTTCTCCAGGAACATCCTATTGAAGCATTCCCAAGAATGGAGTAAAGAAGGAGAAAAATAAAAAGAAGGGCAAGAAATTCATTTCCACTGTTCCTAATAAAGACTTACCTTACCCTCATGCCCCATCTAAGAAAGAGAAGGAAAGACAATTTGCAAGGTTTCTAGACATCATCAAGAAGCCCCAGATAAAAATTCCCTTCACTGAAGCCATGGAACAAATGCCTACTTATGCTCGGTTCGTGAAGGATCTCTTGACTAAGAAGAGAAGAATTCTTGAAGAAGAAATTGTGGAGCTTGAGGCTGGGTGTAGTGCCATCATACAAAAAGTTTTGCCTCAAAAATCCAGAGATCCGGGTAGTTTTACTCTCCCCGTGTCTATTGGAAATCTATCAGTGGGTAAGGCACTCTTGGACCTTGGAGCTAGTATTAACTTGATGCCTTTATCCATGCTGAAGAAGATAGGAGAAGTAGAGGTACGAGCCACAAGGATGACCTTGCACTTGGCTGATAGATCCATCAAGCTTCCACATGGTATAGTGGAAGATATGATCGTGAAGGTTGATAAGTTCATGTTTCCAGTTGATTTCGTAGTCATGGATATGGAAGAGGATGTAGAAGTTCCTTTGATATTGGGCAGACCCTTCATGAAGACAGCTAGAGTTATCATAGACATGGATGATGGAAAGCTGAAGGTGAGAGTTCAAGATGAAGAAGTAAGTTTCAATGTATTTGAAACAACGAAGTTTCCAAAAGGCAACAAAGATTGCTTTAGAATTGATGTATTAGATGATGTGTACTTGGAAACTCAAAATGATTTCAAGAGCTCATCGCCACTAGAGAAGGCTTTGCCTATCTCTAACGAAGAATTGGAAAAGGTCATTGGTAAAGCTTGTCATCTGCCAGTGGGATTGGAACATAAGGCATTTTGGGCTTTGAAGGCCTTAAATTATGATTTGAAGGTAGCAGGGGAGAAAAGAAAGCTTCAATTGCATGAATGGGAAGAAAGGAGATTGAAAGCTTATGAGTCCTCTAAGTCTTACAAGCAGAAAGCCAAGATATATCATGATAGGAAAATTCTGAACAGGAACTTCCAACCTGGCCAGCAAGTATTACTGTTCAATTCCAGGTTGAAACTTTTCCCTAGAAAGCTCAAATCTAAGTGGTCAGGTCCTTTCTTGATTAAATTTGTCAAATCATATGGAGCTATTGAACTTGAAGATCCTGCTTCTGGAAGGACTTGGTTGGTTAATGGTCAGAGGCTCAAGCACTATTTGGGTGGTGAAGTTGAGAGATTCACTGCCAGCACACATTTGAAGAAGCCATGAACAATCTGAATTGTCAAGCTAAAGACACTAAATTAGCATGTTCTTGTTTTAATTTCTGTTTTAGATTCTAAGTTTTAGTTTGAATGGTGAGTAGTTAAGAGTTTTTGTGCCTAGGGTTGTTTGATTTCAGAATGAATGTGCTTGATGATTGGCATGTTTTGGAATGTGTTAACATTGCTGATCTTGTTGAGGTTCTGTTTGTGTTCTGTGTGTGAAGATTTAGGGATGTTATTTTGTTGCTTTTTAGTGGTGCTGCATTATTTTGGGTGTTGGGTTTGTGATTATTTTGATAATGTGGAGTGTGGAGTGAAATATCTTGGTTCATAGGGAGGTTTGGTTCCACGTTGTTGTGGTGTTATAATGGGTTTTGGCTGAGTTATACTACTGATTGCTTGATGGTTAAGTACATGTTGAACTTGATGTCTAGTATGGAATTCTTTTGTGATGTTTTGAGATTTCATAAACAAATCAGTTTTACACTTGGGTATGAAGTTTTAAGTTGTTGATAGAGGTACCAATGTGGAATGATGGTATAGTTTAAAAGCTCAGGGAGAGCTAAGAATGAATCTGGTCTCAAATGAATGCTTGAAGGAGTTATTTCCATGTAGAAATGAAATCCTAAGTCCCAACGCTTAAGCGCCAGGCTCATAGCCACGGCGCCAACTCTCTATTGGACTTCTAGATGTCTTTCAACTTGCAGCACTGAAGTGCCAACTCCACCGCTAAAGCCCCAAGTTTCTGTGTGAACCAATTTTTATGTTTAGAACTTCAAAGCTTGAGTGCCAGGCCCACGGCTATAGCGCCAAGTTTCTGGAAATCAAACTTTTTGAGATAACACTCAACGCTCCAGCGCTGGCTTTCACGGTCATAACGCCAAGTCTCTGGAACTCTCTTTTGAGTTCAAAAACTCCACAGCTACAGTGCCAAGAACCACGGCCATAGTGCCAACCCTCTGGAGCTCTCTTTTGAGTTCAAAAATCCTCAACGCTCAAGCTCCAAAACTCAGCCATGGCGCTAACTTTCTAACCACTTCCTTAGAATTTCAAACCCTCACCGCTCCAGCGTTGGACTCATGGCTTTAGCGCCAAGTTTCGGTCTTGGCAATTGCATGTTAAAAATCCCACAGCTAAGGCTCCAAAGCCCACAGCCATAGCGCCAACTTCCTGGCGCCAAGTCTAAGATAAGGGGATTCTAAACATATGAGATAAATCAAAGGTTTTGAGTTTTCGGTCAATTTCAAAAAACGAAACCCCTCTCTCCACCTCTTCATTTTCCCCTTTCTCTCATCTCCACCTCTTCATCTTTCTTCTTCTCTCACTCACGAAACCTCCTCATCTTCTCACATTTCATCTCCTCTCTTCATAATCTACATAAAACCATCATTTTGCATCATCCATTGTGCACACAAACACAAAAGACTC